ATTTCATCCAGATTTGGCTCTCAATGATTTTTTACACTAACTCAACTCCACTTTATCACTACATATTAAACAGAAACAAGACAAAAAAAAAATATCAATTACAGTGACCTTTTTACCTTGTGTTCTTTCCCTTCAAAACCTATTTTTAAAATGGTGACATGGTTCTTAAAGCATGTACCACTCCCCATTTCCGGTATTTTCAGTCTCCCAGGACAAGAAATCACACGTCATTTCTACCAAACTGCTGCGTAGGTTGGTAGCTAACGGTAGAGCACTGTGATGCTATCACTGCCCAGTCACTTTAGTGCTTTATTACAAGTTTAGACATTACCAAGCCAGGTAGTTGCTGTTGCTTTCCTAAGCAATTATGTTGCAAAAAGGAAGATTTATTTTAGGCAAATTCAACAACAAAGCATTTTCCATGGTATTAAGCTTTGCCATTTGTGGTAGGAAGTAACAAACTCAAGAAAACACACATAAAAAAGCACAAATATGGAAAAAACCAGTTTCCACAAGTTAAAATGTTAAGTTGACATTACCTTTTAAGATTTTATTATTTATGGATAGAATTTTCAACATCTACATGCAAGAGGGATGTCCCACATTGAGAGATGGCTAAAGCCAATCATGCTTGTATCTCCAGTGAATAAGAGAAGTAAGCCCCCAAAGAAAGTGCCTGTTACTAATATGTTTAAATAGGTAGCTGTTTTGGATTTGCGTGGCAACGCTTTGTAGCGGGGGGGCTACAGGGGTGGCTTCTGTGAGAAGCTGCCAGAAGCTTCCCTTGTGTCCAATAGAGGCAATGCCAGCCAGCTCCAAGATGGACCCACTGCTGGCCAAGACCAACCCACTGCTGGCCAAGACCCAGCCCCTCAGCGACAGTGGTAGAACCTCTGGGATAACTTAGGGGGGAAAAAAAAAAAAAAACAACAACCAAAACCAAAACAAACCTGTGCAACCGCAGCCACCCAGGTCAGTGCAGCAGGAGGTGCTCTGGGCGCCAGAGCAGAGATTCCCCTGCAGCCCCTGGTGCAGCCCATGGTGAGGCAGGCTGTCCCCCTGCAGCCCATGGAGGTCCATGGTGGAGCAGATCTCCACCTGCAACCTGCGGAGGACCCCACGCCAGAACAGGAGGCTGTGACCCCATGGGAAGCCCACGCTAGAGCAGGCTCCTGACAGGACCTGTAGCCCCATGGAGAGAGGACCCCACACTGGAGCAGGTTTGCTGGCAGGGCTGGTCACCCCATGGAGAGAGGACCCCATGCTGGAGCAGTCTGCTCCTGAAGGACTGCACCCTGCGGAAGTGATGGACCCACACTGGAGCAGTTCGTGGAGGACTGTCTCCTGTGGGAGGGACCCCACACAGGAGCAGGGGCAGAGTGTGAGGAGTCCTCCCCTGAGGAAGAAGGAGCAGCAGAGACAGCGTGTGGTAAACTGACCCCAACCCCCATTCCCTGTCCCCCTGCGCTGCTTGTGGGGAGAGGCAGAGAAAGTCAGGTGTAAAGTTAAGCCCAGGAAGAAGGGGGGTTGGGGAAGGTGTTTTTGATTTGGTTTTATTTCTCATTACCTTACTCTGATTTGACTGGTAATAAATGAAACTAATTTCCCCAAGTCGAGTGTTTTGCCTGTGACAGTAATTGCTGAGTGATCTCTCCTTGTCCTTATCTCAACCCACGAGCCTTTCGTTATATTTTCTGTTCACTGTTCGTTTGAGGAGGGGAGTGATAGAGAGGCTTGGTGGGCACCTGGCATCCAGCCTGGGTCAGCCCACCACAGTAGCAGCCCAAAAATGGTTAGTCAAACAACACACCAGCATTTCAGCTTAACTAAGCATAAATCATTGCTCTTGCAGACAGAAGCCAGTATCTCATAGAAGATCCAGCAGCGCAGAGCACAATGCAGGACCAGCTGCACAGCCTACCTCAAGTCGGCACATGTATTGACTGGCATTGCTATTTCTAGCTAGCCACAGCCCTTCAGGAACAGCTCTCACGCAAGTATGCTGGAATTAAAGTAATTTTAACACAGAATAAGAGTAAGACTTGAATAGTTAAATCAAATCAGTATAGTTAACTGCATGATGGTTAGTTCCCCTTCTTCTGACAAAATCCCAAAGGGTAGGTAACTAATTCCTGCAAAAGCTCAGGTTCCTAGGTGGCTTTCAAGGTTAACCCCAGGTATAAACAATTGCAATACTTTAACCTAAAAGGAACATAAAAATTAAACTGTCTGCAACTAACAAGAAAGATTAAATCTCTTGGTCTACTAGAGATTAAAAAAAAAAAAAAGGCATATCTGGCTTCTGATAAACATTTGCTCTTTGGGAGGAATGATTTGTTAACCTTGAAGAACCATAAGATAGTATGTAGAATAGTTAGTTTATGCCAACAGCACAAAGTAACAAGAGAGGCCCAGGATAGTAAAGAGGAGATAAGGGATGTTTAGACAAGTTACTTAATAAGGCACAATAGTTGATTTATGGCCTGAATGAAAGCCTACCAAAAGTATTCCACTTGATTTCAGCAGGTTTTAAATCAAGTCAAGCTATATGGGAAAAAAAATGCAGATAAAGTTTTTATTAACTGTTCCAGCTTTACTACAAAAGTCAGCTAAATGAAAATTTTAAGTCTACCTCTGGCAAATGATCCTCAACAAGAAGAATGTGCTGTCACTGCATTTGCTAGCACACTGAATACTGCCACCGTAACTGCCACCCAGAGCCCTTAGAAGAACAAGGAGCAAAAGCACTCTTCAAAAATACAATGTTAAACCAAAGAAAATGTTGAATATTGGTGGGGGGTGGAGGAGAGGAGAAGGATGTTCTGTTCAAATGAAAAAAATATTGCAAGAAACAATATGAGCAGAGTGATCTACAAGATACATGCATTTTGTTCAACTACTGGTGAACTTGTGTTTTAAAATTAATCTTTTATTAGTAATATTACCAAACACAAGCCTAACTAAACCTATTAATAGCAATGCTAAATTCTTAATAGTATTTGAGTGATTTGCAAAAAAAAAAAAAAAACAAATAAAAAAGTAAATGGATTTGAGTGCTTCACCCATTTACAAGATGTAGTTGTTTCTTCTGTAGTGTTTCCAAACCATTCCAGCCCAATTTCTTGAGAGCACCTTAATACTCCAAATACCCCACGTTATCAGTTCTAGATCACGTGCTACTAGGTACGAGTCAGTCATGCAAGAAGCATCCCTACTGGGGTTCTTCAGAATAAAAATGACTGAGCTAATACTTAAAATTTTGATCTCATTCTTACAAAAAGCTTCTGACAGTTTGATTCAGATGAGCAAGAAATTACCAAGAAGGTTCTGATGCCCTTGTTTGTACCACATTATCAGTAGTCAACTTTAGCAGCTGTATTTTTATAAAGTATCTTTTATTAGCCACCTATAAATATGAATGTTTATAGTCCTACTGTAAACAATCAGTGGAATATAACAACAGATTCCAAAATATGAGATAGAAAATTAGGACATAGAAAACTAGCACACAGTATCCATGTTAAATCTGACTATGAAGAGTAGAAGACAAGAGGAAAAAAAGAAAGGGCAGTTCTTGAGAGCTTCAGGTCTGTAAGATACAAACACTTGTATTTCTTTCACAGAACAGTGCAGAAAAGATACAATTTGTTACTATGAAATTTGTTATATCCTTGTGGTGTAGTAAAACAGCATAAAAGCAACAGAAGGTTAATTAGGAACCAGAAATATCAGTCCAGAAATCCTACAGCAAAAATAGGACTAAAAAACCCACACATACTTCTAATTATATCATAAACCGGTCATATTGACTACAACAATTTCCCTCTCAGTCTAAGTTCTTTATACATTATAAATAACCGCTGGGGATGAACAAATCAGAGCTAACAAGCTAGCTTGAAGTTCATGGCTGAGAACCTGATGGCACAAAACCTAACACAGGCGGGCACCAGGTTCTGCAGCCACTGCTTCTGTCTGGACTGCCTCAGCAACCCCACTTACAGTACAGGAGTCAGCCATGTATTTTAAAGCTATTGGGTATAGCTACCTTTTGCACCTTTTACTGCAAAACCAAAGAATAGGAAAAATATTAGAAATGATGAATGAAGGATTGGCGGGGGGGAAGCTTTGAAACTTCCCTTTTATGCTTTGTTTTCTCACGTCTACCCCAAAATGATCTTTTATATTTGGTGTATTGATCTGAAAGTTTTAGGAACCAAAGCTGTGCTGTAGGCCCATCAAAAGGACAAATATTTTCAAAGTATGACTTCCTGTTCTAAGTTTAAAGTTACCATGATGTGATAAAGAAGTAGAACACAACAAAAGCCTGTAAGTATGAGCTGAAAGAGCTTAAAGGTTCTGATCATTGTGCCCTAAAAATATAAATGTGGCCCTGAGGTCTGTTGTTAACTCCTGGAGTTCTTAAGAGTAGAAAACTCCCTTTAATTGGGACCTTGACATACCTGCCAGTAAGCAGTTGCAAACTCTTGTTTCTGAGGAACAACGCCACAAGTAGTACCCAAGATTTACAAAATACTAAAGCAATTATGAATCGTCCCTTCAGAGAGCGAACTGTAAGCTTCTCAGCATAAGAACACTGGTAATTCTTTACCACGTTACTATGAGACAATAAGTTAAAATGTCAGAACTGCGAAACTCCCAATACTGTGGATTTTCATTTAAAATATTACAATTTTATTACAAGATGGTAAGATGAAATATTTGATCATTCCCCTTTGGGAGTGCGTGCAGGAAAAATATCTCTGAAATGCCTTCTGACCTTTCTTTCACTTTAAATATATTGACTGTTTCTAAACTTTTAAGGAATTTAAAACTTGCTTCCAGAGAACACTATGAAAGATGATTTAAATCAAGTATTACAGTACATACATTGCATCTGATAAAAGACAGACAAATCTTATTTGTATTTTAAACTTCTTTGGAATGAAATTACCTAATACACATACACAAGAATAACATCAGACTAGCTAATATGCTCTGACCTTTCTGTTTTTGATTCATTGTCAGCTCGATAGTGTTCAAGGTCTTGGTAAAGAGACTGCAGTTCTGCTTGAAGTCCTTTTTCCCGTTCTATACTTCCTTCATAAAATTTAATCTCCTTCTCCATTGCTTTTACTTTTTCTTCCATCACCTTAAATTCATGAAGTATCAAATAGCTGACTCCACAGTATTTACACACTGTCTCATCCCGGGACATCTAGAAAAAGATAAAATTGCAAGATTGTCTGTAAGAAACAAGTTGACCAAAGAAAACTTCAATGACGCTAAATGATAATAATAAATCTGACAAATTTAAACCATTTACTGCTCTGGAGCATTTATGATCAGATGATGTTATTGCTTTAACAAATAATAAAGACAAAATTCTCCATTAGCAAAATGAAAGCAAGCTATAGCAGTACTTCCGCTTACTGGAAACTTCATAAGATACATCAACTATGCAATTTACTATGTGGGAACTCCCGCTGGAATTCTAAGCTAAAATACCTCTGAATTATGTTTGATGTATTAATTTAAAATAAAATGCTGTGCTTTACAAAGTTATCTCCTTAATGAATTTGCGACCGCATGAGCCAGAAAAATGTTATTTACTGTGGTTTTTTGACAACTTATATCCAATTGAAGCAGCCAAGATGAAAAGTGGAAAGTGAATAGAATGATGTAATCCAGCAATCTTTACAAAAATAATTCGAATGAGTAAGGGACTAATTATTATGATGCAGTGTTCGTGGCACTTGAGTGTTGTGAAAAATGTAACCCATTTACCAGGTATGAAGTATTCATCACTGATTCAAAAAATACAGAGTACTTATTACACATCTAATTGAAAGAACATTTCTTAAACTGAGAAACATACTTTTGTAAGTGATCAATTTATTAAGCTTTGCAGTAAGCAAGACTTCATAAATATGAACAGATAGATGTGCTCTGACTTTGATATAGAATCATAGAATCATCTAGGTTGGAAAAGACCTTTAAGATCATCAAGGCCAACTGTTAACCTAGCACTGCCATCCCACCACTAAACCATGTCCCTAAGCAATACGTATTCATTACTCAGTGTACCAGTTATTCCTGCGTATTTTAATCATTTTCACTTCCAGAAAAAAATGCTCACGTGATGCAGAACTGAACCTGCACAGGAAATGGATACCAAATCAATAAATCAGCCAGACCAAGGTCTGACACTTCAGTAGGGGACACGTAAGCATCTGCTTACTGGCACAGATCACAGAACTGTGAACATAGAATCACAGAATCGTTTAGGTTGGAAAAGACCTTTAAGATCATCAAGTCCAACTTGATGGATCAACTTTAAGTCCAACTTTAAGATCAACCAAGTCCAACTGTTAACCTAACATGACAGGTTTTACCCTGTTCTTGTATCACAGCATTAAATGCATTTGAGAAGAGATGGTTAGAATTAAGACCAGATCAGAGGACACTCATAATACAGCTAAAGAGACAACCTCAAAGCAACAAATACAAAAAGGTATTGGTAAGCTTGGTGGCATGAAAGATGGAAAATGGGTGGCAGCTGGAAAAGCAGTTTTGTGTTTATGTACTGAGAGCTAAAAATACGCTTTAACCTTTCTTGCAATTATCAGCTGTTACAAGGATTTTAACACAATGACTTATGAAAATCAGAAATCTGGAAAACTGCAAACAGTTTAGTCAAAGAATGTAAGAATCCCTTGTGTTATACAAAAAGAAAAAAAGGCGTTTTGAGACATTGGGATAAATTCAAAGAAATCATACCTAGATCAAAGAAAAGAGCTTTCAAAAATTATAAAGACTCATTATCCCATCAGTCAATAATCATTAGCACTTTAAATATATCTTGATAAAAATGATATTTCAGGATGCCTTGGAAGTACCAGACCAAGCTTTATTTTCCAATTTCTTGGGTTTGCCCCAGTTTAAAATACCCCTAGTAACAGTTGCTCTGAATGAACTGAAAATGCAAGTTTCTTTTTCCTGGCAGCTGCAGACTGTGCTTGGAAATATGAAACTGTTATTCAGGATAACTACCATAAAGTTCCAAAGCACTAAAATTACTATACTGAAAAAGGACAAAATGAGCTGTTATAAGGAGCACAGGAGGGTGGCTCTTATCCCAAAAAGAACATTGCGCTCTCGTGCAGCACCACTACTGCTGGCTTTCAAACAAACAGTTACAGAAATTTCACCGGGTACTAGGATTAAAAACAAAACAAAACAATTGGGGTCCTGAACTGAAAATGTTTTATGTAAGTACTAAAACTTTAGTTTTCAAATTCAATGTTATTACTGAACTTAAAAATAAATGAAGTCATAGAACAATAAATATTATCTATCTGGACTTAGTGGGAAATGGGTCCTGTTGTTCTTCACGTCCATTCCTCGGGTGAAGAAAAAACTTTAAAGGACTTCAGATCAGGTTGGATTTTTAAAGTATTTGCTACATAGTCAAAAAAAAAAAAAAAAATCACAGGAAAGCCCAAGGGCTTTATATTACTGCAGAGAGTAAAGCAAGTTCTGTCTTTTAGTCAGAATCTTGCTTCTGTACATGCACAATTATCCTGCAACCACTGCAATATACTGTATACAGATTGAACCAGTTTTAAAATACCTGTATGTAGAGTAAGTAGCAGTTTCCGAATACCAGTAATGAATTTGGTACGGGTTGAGTGATGCTCAACAGGCAAACTAGCCCAAACTAAATTCCATGCTGCAGTAGATTAACACCAATAAGCAAGCTAACTAACTTAAATCCAGCACATGTATGCCCAATATGCCCAGACAGTTAACAGGACCCAGTCGAAAGTGAACAGCTCCAAAGAGCAAGGTCTGAACGCGGCAGAGCAAGGGGTGGACTAATCTGGATTCTCATCCTAAATCCAAGATTCCTCCCTCATGGCCATAGTGGTCAAATCACAAGGAGGACTTTCTCTCTCTTTCTTTTTCTCTCCCTGCTTCTCTCTTGCACTGTCAACATCACAACCCAAGTTCTCCTCACTGATACTTAAAATATCTCCTGAAACTCCTGAGCTGGTTGCACATTTTTCAGAAGCTACCAAAGCTTCACACAGACAGGTACAGAGAAATGCTGTCAAGCTGTAGATGCTCATTTCATTCAGCCAAAATAATGACAAAACTATCTTCAGGCTACACCAATTTAAAGGTCAGGGCCAGAAAGTATTTTATAGCTTTGAAGACCACTTACAAATAAAATATTTTGGGGTTTTGCACAGTTTCCAAGAGGAACACCATTACTTCGTCTATGTGAGTATTTCTCTATTGTCACCCTTCAATAATTTGTGAACCGAGATGTTTGGTCATTTATAACCGGTTCTGACACTGAGGGCAGAACATTTAAGTGGCTAATAGTTTTAGACAACCAGGTAGGCAATAAAGACTTTGTAAGTGCCCTGCTGAAGGAAACTCCAGAGTGTGATTGCAGTCCTTATCAGATAACCCATACAGGAAAGAACCTTATAAATGGTCAGTCCAGGAGAAAAGATTCCATTAGACCTTGTATCTTAGACACCAAAGTTCATCAACCATTACACAAAAGACTGTAGGAAACAAATGTTCATTAGTTCTTAGGCTTACAAAGCTACCTTTTCTGGAATAGTGGTATCGCTGAGTAACCACTAAGAATGTGTATTACATACACAATAATTTATGTTTTCAGATTCCATATTTCACTATTGACATTTGATCAAAAGACTTGTCAGCTTCTCAAATGCAAAGCAGAAAGTCATCAGGGAAAAAACAGGATTTGGAAGGAACAGAAAAGGAAACTATCAGAGCTCTAATTAGAAAGGGGACTGTGTGTATCCTTAGCAGTGAGAATAAGCAGTGAACAGGAAAAATCAATTAGGAATAAAAAACAAACATGAAGTAATTTTAGTATTGTCAGTTTGGTCAGCCTGGACAGGGAAACTCAGGGCAAACAGGACCTGAAAACGTAACAGAGGGATACTAAAAAAAACCCTGCTCTTTGAGCTAGCACAACAGTACTGTGTGCACAGTAACAACATAAAAACAAACTCAATGAGGACAAAGTGCTTGAAATAGGAAGATATTTGATCCATAAGATTTTGAGCTACAGTTCCGTAGCTCAAACTGTATTGCGAGGGAGCATTTCTAGCTGTGATATTCCAGCAGCTGTTCCACTACAGCATCTGTGGGAGTAGTTTCGACTCAGAGCTGCATTCAGTTTTGGAAGAACTAATATTATTCCATGGTTACATAGATTTCTTTAGCTACCAAGGGCAAGCGGAGAACTGAGCCAAAATGGATAGTCACTCAAATTACATCTGTCTGACTCAGTACCGTAAGCATCTGTAGAGCGTAAGTTGTAAGGAAAAAAATAAAAAGAAAAAAATTACTTTGGTGGCCTGGACCATTTTTAGCCTTTTGAATGACAAGACAGGAATTTATATAATTTCAACTTGACCAAATAACTACAGGGAGCATCAGCTTGTGCACTGCTATTCTTCTCCTCTGACATTTCAGATTCCACCCGAAAAAATTACCACGATAAAGAGCTAAATTCTTATTAAAAGAAAAATAATCTACTTTCTCACTCAGCAGTGCCTTGGCATTACAACATCCAGCATGTGGATCACTTACACTAGAAATAGTCTGTTACAAGCAGCTAATAAATAGCCATGACCCTTAAAAGCCAGAATTTAAGTCCTCAATTAATGAGATTCTATTAAAAAGCTTTGAATATGTTTCTGTACATCGCTGATATTAAAACATAGAGCCAGGAGCACAGATGTACTCCTTGTACATTAATTTTACAGTACAGGGGAGGGAGAGCCTAAGGGAACTGCAGCGCTCACCATCCTCCTTGCATCACCCAGTGCTCCTTGGGCACCGCACGTAACGCAGTAATAACAGCTCATGCTCCCTCCTCAGTCAATCTGCCAGGACAGAGTGCTTTAGCAAGGACTGGCCAAATAACAAACCCCCCTGCATTTGTCCAAACTACACTTGTAGCAGAACAATACATAAAACTCAAAGAAAAAAAAACCTCATTATGCTGCAGCTGGGTGCTCTTAAATTATTTCTGTACATTGATTGTTTTATTCTACCTCTATGTGATTCTACCTTATTATCTGAATCTACTTTCTTTTTGTTTTACTCCTCCTCTCCCGTGCTTTTATTTCTCTCGTGCTGTTTGGCCTGCTCCTGACAAACTAG